AAACAAGAAAATGGAAGTCGAGTCGCAACCAACTTATAAGGCATGCAGTTGCGACCAAGTTAGAAAACATGCAGTTGCGTGCCTCCTATGGGAGATGCAGTTGGGCCCCATGTCTCTCGCTGCCAGCCCATCCGACAAAACAAAAGGTCCCCCCGTAGTTGCGACCAAGTTAGAAGACATGCAGTTGCGTTCCTAGTGCAGGACATGCAACTTGCACGATCTCTCTCGACGCCACTCCCTCTGACAAAACAAAAGCCCCCCTAGTTGCGACCAAACTTGAGAACATGCAGTTGTGTGCCTGGTGTGGGACATGCAACTGGTCCGCATGCCTCTCGACGCCTCCCCCTTCAAACAAAACAAAAGGTACCCCCTAGTTGCGACCAAGCCAGAATATATGCAGTTGTGTGCCTAGTGCTGGACACGCAAGTAGGTCCCATGTCTCTCAAACATCGCCCCCTCTGTCAAAGGAAAGGTTCCCGCCTCCTAGTTGCGACCAAACTAGAAGACATGCGGTTGCGTGCCTAGTGCAGCACATGCAACTAGGCCCCAATCTCACTTGACGCCGCCCCCTCCGACAAAACAAAAGGTCCACCCTCCTAGTTGCGACCAAGCTAGAAGACATGCAATTGTGTGCGTAGTGTGGGACATGCGACTGGGCCCCGTGTCTCTTGACGGCATGCGTCCGGCAAAACAAAAGGTCCTCCCCCTAGTTGCAACCAAGCTAGAAGATATGAAGTTGCGTGCCTAGTGTGGGACATGCAACTAGGCCCCATGTCTCTCGACGCTGCCCCATGTCTCTCGACGTTGTCCCCTCCTACAAAACAAAAGATACCCCCCCTAGTTACGACCAAAACTAGAAAGACATGCAGTTGCATGCCTAGTGTGGGATGGGGAACTAGGCCCCATGTCTCTTGACACCGCCCCCTCCGACAAAACAAACCCTCCCACCTAGTTGCGACCAAAAAACTAGAAGACGTGCAGTTGTGATGCCTAGTGTGGGACATGCAACTGGGCCTCCATGTCTCTCAATGTCGCCCCCTCCGACAAAACAAAGCCCCCCCCCCCTAGTTGCGGAATGGGAGCCTGATGTCCCAGCCATGTGCCTGCTTGTGCTCACCACAGTTGATTATATAGAAAAACAAAAAAATGCTTGTGATGTGTGTGAGGACTTTCTTTAAAGTGCCATATTTTGACTAAAAGAAGGTAAATCTAATAAAAAGAAGACACATTATACCACATAAAAGAAGTACAAAAAATAATAAAAAGTATATAGGTTATCCACACACATGGTTGAGTAGGGGGTGTGAAAAACATATAGATGGTCACACATAAATATTTAAAAACTGCACCTTCTTCATAGTTCCAAACTACAGATCATAATATATTTAAAATGCACCTTCTGCATAGTTCCAAACCGCCAAGTTCGAAAACATAAAACACAGGGCTCTCATATATAGAGTTCCTACATAAAAATGCAGTACGGGGTGCATATATACTGCTAGGATAAAGAGAGCATGCATGTTTCCAACTGCAGCTCTTTCTGATCATCTTCTTTCCTCGTCGGTGCCCTACCCAAGCTTCCTCGTGATCACAAATGAATCAATCTCGCTACTCTTGCTGTTCTTGAATCCAAAAAGAACAACATTGTTGACATTCACAATTCGGCCATCACCGTAAGTGCGGTATGGGATTCTTTTGAAATTCCCACCATCCATACAAACAATACCAAAATCATGTTTTTCAAAAAGCGTAGCAGCGGCAACTTTCTTGGGGATTTTCTGGGTGCCACAAAAAACAGTGTTATAACAAAACTTCAAAAGACAAAAGGAAAAAAAAGAAGAAAAAAAGAAAATGGAAAAAGAAGAGAAACATACCATCATGCCTAAATGAACATTTGTCCTTGTGAGACGGTGAATGAAAGGCAAACCAACAAACCTATCACTGAGAGGCAGTAAGCCTTGAAGCTCAGATTCCTCGATCCCATTCAACTCGAACCCCCTTGTGCGAACAATGCCTTCATCATTGTCATGGGGAGCTCCCCCATGCTCATCATCTTCGTCTGCATCTTCATCATCTCCTTCCATGGGATCTTCGTCTTTAGAGCCGTTGCCCAGCTGGAGAAATAAAATGGCTGCCATTGGGGAAGGCTGATCCAGGAAGAAATACACCAACTGACCCTTCCCCAGCTTGTTGTCTTCATAAAACTTCTTCCAACCACTCCCATACATTGCACTATGTGTGCGACCCTTGTAGCACCTTACAGTGTATGTACGAGTGTTTGCCACGAATGTCACCTCCTCTTCTATAATGATGTCGAAGTGCACCCTTTCATTGCATGCCACAACCTATTGGGGGGTTGAACACAAAAAAAGAAGCAGAAAACACAACAAAAAGGAGTTAGGACTGTACCGTGACAAACAGAACAAAATATAAAGATGAAAACAAAAAAAGATAAATGAACAAGTTGTTGGGGGTCATCTTATTTAAGAAACTGTTTGTTAAATTTAATGTCCCACTTGGATGCTTCGCATTTCAGATCAGTCCCAGCGGCAAAGCTAGTTGCTTATGCAGAGGGCACTAAGGGTGATGAAAATCTATACTGTTTTTGTCATTGACATAAAGAGGGGACACTATGTTGGGCAACCACTTAAAGCAATTACTTGTGACATTGAGTGGGCTGGTGATGACAACCTTGTTTACATAACAATGGACAACATTTTTCGACCGAGATAAGGTATGTTAACTCTTACTCCTACATAAAACTTATCCCTGCCTATGCTATCAATGTGAATACACATACTAGACAAAAAAATAATAAATAATGATTATGTGGGCACATTACCCCTCGGTTTTTGAAGGCTTCTGACACATACATGCTGAAAGAGTCCTCATTTCTCTCATAGTCGCAACGGTTCAAACAAACTCTGCAAACCGCATACTGTTCACACATAAAAAGATAAAAAGAAAAATTAGTTTGGGTTCAAAAAAATCACAGATGTTGCTTTATTCTAGAGACCTTCAAGTTCAGCTTATACATATTCCCAAAGAAAAAACAACAAACACAGCACATAACAGTGCAGCTCAAAAAAAGCTTGTCATTTCACAACAAAAAAAAGAATGTTCAACTTAGAAAAAAATCCTAAATACACATCTCTCTAATCAACTACTCATGAAAACAGAGGGTTGTAAAAAAAAGTGCACTCAGTCTCTTGGCCTACTAAGAAATTTAGTACAGAGGGGTGTAAAAAAATTCTCTATAAGTACCTACAAAGCATAAAAAACGCGTTGATAAAAAACAATATCCAGTACAATCCAACAGAGAGACACGGTTAAATCTTAGCCTCTTGGCCTACTAAGAACTTTAGTACTACAGGTAGTAGAAAAAATATTCACTAGAAATGAACCTCAAAAACGGTGACACACAAAAAACGGGGCTGAAACCATCTATTAGAAGATTCTAGAACAAATAGTACACATTTACTATGATGAAACCGTCTGAAGTAGCAGACGTGAATTTCAGGCTAAATAAGCAGAGAAGAACTAGATTAACTGAACCTAACTGAACTTAAACACTGAAAAAGTATAGTTTATTTGGCTTTACACCTCCAGCACCTTACATCCGCATGAAAAACACACTAACACACCTCCAATCTATTGGCTTCTTGAAGAATAAGGACACGAGAAAATAACTAAAAAATCCTGGAGTCGATTATAGAGTTGAAGCTATTAATCTTCGCTTGATGCACACAAAAAACGACCCTAATCTCTTCAGATCTGCGGTGTATCACCAACAAGAACAAGACAAACAAAGACACAAAAACAGACTAGGTTCTTCACTAGATGCTCTATGTGTTTCTTCTAGGACAAGGAATAACTCAATCACCCTCAGCCGGTGACATTGTTGACCAACAAAGGGAAACATGCTTGAATGCTCTCTTGAAGCAGCTTCAAACACAAAGGGGAATGCTAAAAAGCAAACTGAATTGAAAAGAGGTGCCACAATAACAGAGCTTTTTTTATCGTGGTAAGTGAATCTAACTACAAGCAAAGAACTGGTTTTCATCCGCAAATCGCCACCGCGACATGCTGATCGACACGGTCAGCAAGAGACACTATTATGCATGAACGCACAAAATGAAAATAAAAAAGAACTCTGGGGGGTCCAGAGAAATAGATATGCCACATGGTACTACTAATCAAAAACTTGAGACAAACGAATAAACATGCCTCTGCTACTGATAAAATAGGGTTCCATAAAAAATCTGAAAAAACAAATAAACATGCCCACTTCCTAGTGATAGATTCGGTAATTATCTATCCCATTTCCAGTGATTAATAGGATTTTGGCAAAATCTAAAATAAAACAAAATAAGAGACTGAGCCACTCCATTCCACTAAACAAAAGATAATCCTCAACCATGCTACTGATATCAAAAACATGCTACTGATTTGAGGGGCTTCAGGTTTGGGTTCAGTAATAGATATGAGGGGGGTTGGGTTCAGTAATAATCCTCAAAGATGTTGCTGATTTCACAAACATTCTACTGATTTGAGGTGCTTTGGGCTTGGTTCAATAACAGATATGAGGGGCTTTGGGTTCAGTAATAATCCTCAAACATGCCAAAAGTCTGAAGGAAAAAATCATACAAAAAAGAGGACACGGTACATACCACTGCTTGAATAAAAAAGGGGAGCGATTCTATGCTTCAAGCTACTACTCTGGACTTGATCGAAAACAAAATATGGAACCCAAAATCCCCTCACATCTACTGCATCTTGCCAACAAAAAATATCACTCACAGAAAAGGGGACAACCCTACATGCCACTGCTTGAAGAAAAATGGCAAGAAGAAATGGCTAAATTCATGTAGCCGATTATATGGTTGAAGCTATTTATCTACACTTGATACAAATTAAAAATGACCCAGTTCTATGGTGTATCACCAACAAGAACAAGACAAACAAAGAAACAAAAAAGAGATGGAGAAGAATGGTAGGGGGAAACTCATCCCATCAGCAGTGCTTGCCATGCCTCTCTCATTGAGCGTGCAGTAGCACGCCAATCTTAGAGCTCAGCCTCTCTTATCCCCCTGTAGCATTCTTCCGATTTGAGACTGGGGGAATGGGGATAGACGATGGGTAATGAGCTCTGACTGCTCGCTCCCCTCTTCTTATCCACGGGGTGGTCGCTTCCCCTTCTTCACTTTAATGCGGCCCAAAAAACAAAAACACATAAAAAAGGAAAAAAAAGAATGGGCACAACCCAGCCCCAGCCCATCAGCAGCGCTCGCATAGGGGGTCACGGATACGACGGGGAAAAAACAAAGCGGGCCGGTCCATGCCTTAGACAGGCCGAAAACAAGGGACAAAGTGCCCAGGCGCGAATCTACAAGTAGATGAAGATCGGACGGCTAGTCCGTCGACTGAGACTTCGCGAAGTCTCAGTCGACTGATTTTTAGCATCTCCAATTAAAATATTCATCTTTGTGGCAGGAAATTAAATATGTTTTAGGTTCTTTCCAAATGAAAACTGCTCTACTAGGGAAAAAGGAAGTTTAAATTATTAGAGTATTGGAACTTGGAAGTCTATTTGTACAAACACACATAGGTTTTTTTTAGGGTTAAACATGATTTACTTTATTACTCAATTTTCAAATTTACAGGGATAACACAGATAGGTGGAAGCACTGGTAGGATTCATCCACTCCCTGCAGGCTTTTGCAACCAAAATATTGATATATATATCAACTTTAAAAGTAAAGAAGATTGGTTCTGCTGGCTTGCCTGCTTGGCCCACTATAAAAGGCCGAAAAGGCTGTTCTATGCAAATAAAAACTAGAAGGTGTTCTATGCACAGATGCGTACCGCGCGGTGAAGGGTGGATCAAGCGCCCGTTTGCCTGAAGCTCCTTCGTCCCCCGGTGGATAGCACGTAAATTACGGAATCCTGTTATATGGGCTGGCCCAATACTGATTATCCTGACCATCGATTTTCGGAAGTTTCTTCCCTGAACTATTTCTTTCTTTTTTGTTTGTGTTTTTTCTTCTAGTTTTTTGTTTCTTTCTTTCTTATTTCATTTTTAAATTTCATAACCATTTTATAAAATTGGAACATTATTTGAAGTTTAGAACCTTTTAGACCAAGAATTTTTTTTATTTCGCTACTTTTTGTAATTTGGAACATTTTCAAATTCATCAATATTGTTTGAAATTCAAACTATGTATTAATATTTGGAAGCCGTTTTCCAATTCAAGAACACTTTTTGCAATCCGGGGAAACATCCACATTCTTGAACATTTTTTGGAAATTTGGGAGCAATTTCAAATTCATGAAAAAAAATTAATTCAATAAATAAATATGTGGATAATTTTAAAAACAAAACATTTTTACTTATTAATGAACATTTTTTAAAATCTCCTCGGCATTTTTTCTAAGTTTAAAAAATAGGGGCGCCCACCCCGCACATGGACCGGCCCAGAAGGTGTGGTTGGGTTTATGGTGCCTCCTCGGCCCTATGTGTGTGTTACGAGGCCTTGGATTAAACACAACCCATGCATGTGAGGCTTATTTACATTCTGGTCTGCATATAAAATGACGATTGCAACCAGAAGATCTTTTTACGCATAGCATCTTCATATTGCTTCAGACTGCAAGGTGATGGTTGACGATATCAAGCAAGAAATCTCTAGAAGCTATGGAGCCATAATACGGGAGATCTAAGGATATCAAGCAAGAAACCCCAACCATGTTAGAAAGCAAATCAAGAAACATAACACATGTATGACAGAAACTAGGGCGGCATGAGTGGAACAAAACACTATGCAAAAGGCCGAGTCTTCCACACACAACCTAGTATATAGATGCAATAATTAAATAAGAGATATTGTGATATCCTATGATATCCATGTCCCAACATGGAACAACCTGCACTGCACCTGCAACTAGCAATGCTATAAGAGGGGCTGAGTCGTGGTAACATAGTCAAACAACAGTTTGGTAGAAAGGTGGGGTTAGAGGCTTACCATGACAATTTAGGAGGCTGACAGACAAGTGTTAGGTAACGAGACATAGCGATAACAACGAGACAACTAGCAAGCAAAGACGGTAGTGATATCCAGGGTAATGATCATCTTGCTGTAAAATGGTCATGTTGTTATAACAGATTCCTATTACAGAAAGTTGTGTCTCGTGAGCTCAATTGTGACTAAACCATGCATCATATAAATTCGTGCCAATGGAACATTCTGAGCATTGCCATGTCTACCATAGCTACATATCAATTTCGTGCATATTATGCTCTTGTAGCATGCTGTAATGTTTCTTATAAAGTGTCAAGTTATTGTTGTTGGCATATTGCACTGCATATTTGTTTTGCTCACCGTTTGAGTTCTATGCATCCGTTTTTCATGATCTCAACATACATTTCATCCATATTCTATACATTGGAAACCTTGGGAGCAAAAGAATACTAAAACTAATAAAATTACATATTAAGTGTTGTTTGATTATGATCAAGCGTTTGCTTATCATTGACCTCTACATACATTTGTACTAAAGTATTGTACTTCCCTATAACTTGTTGTCACTAATTGCATTTAATAATATTAAATGATTTCACTTAAATACAATTTTTACTATAATTATACCTTGTATATTTGATTATGTAACTAGTTGAGTCAAATATTGACATGAAATTGTTATTTTCTTAGTATAATGTCAATAATTTATTTAACAAACATGTGCGCAATAGTACATAGTTTAAAAATGTTACTTTTGAGTAACACGTGAAGTTTATTTATTATATGGGCTTCTCCCTAACTATAATGAAATTAAAATATATATAATATAATACCACCATGCTCTATGGATTACTTTGTGGCATTTACATGTATTTTTGTGTGTTTATATGTTTTCACGCGAAAGTAGGACCATCCTAAATATCTTGGTGGA